AGTTGACACTTGTACAGCCAGAGCAGATGCAGGCACAGGCTCAGGAGCCGAACCTCACTCCTGTCATCATTGAGGCTCTGAATCTGGAACATCACATAACTCCTGTACCTTCCTCAGAGGTTCAACTCTCTCCAAATTTTCAGGAGACCCCATCTCAGCCTCCAGAGCCCTCTTTTGAGGATGTAGGAGAGCAGATAATACCACATGGAGTAACACATCCAAGACCACTGGGTCAGCATATAGGTCCGCCTCCAACATTGCCCAGTGTTTTGGTACAAGCCTTGGACATGGGGTTTACCCTAAGTCCTCAAGTCACTACAGAGTCTGAGCATGCTGTGATCCCACAGGAGGTTACAGTTACTCCTCTGAAGCACCCGGAGTTGACACTTGTACAGCTAGAGCCGATGCAGGCACAGGCTCAGGAGCTGAACCTCACTCCTGTCATCATTAAGCCTCTGAACCTGGACCATCACATAACTCCTGTACCTTCTTCAGAGGTTCAGCTCTTTCCAAATTTTCAGGAGACCCCATCTCAGCCTCCAGAGCCATCTCTGGAGCCTATAGGAGAGCAGATAGTGCCACATGGAGTGACACATCCAAGACCACTGGGTCAGCGTATAGGTCTGCCTGCAACATTGCCCAGTGTTGTGGTACAACCCTTGGACCTGAGCTTCCCTCTAAGTTCTAAAATCATTATAGAGGGTGAGGATTCTGTGGCCCTGCAAGAGATTACAGCTTCTCCTGTGGAGCACCCGGAGATGATACTTGCACTTCCAGAGGAGGTGCAGTCCCAGCATCCAAACCTGTCTCCCATCACAGTTCATCCTTCAGACCTGGAACATTCCATGAGTGCACCACTTGCTACGGGGACTGAACTTACATCACTGATGCAAGAGGGAGCCCCTCAGCCTCCAGAGCCATCTACGGAGGCTGTAGGTGAACGTACAGGAACACCTGAAATGACAAATCCACTGGGTCAGGATGCAGCTCATCATCCAACATTACCCATGGTCCCCATCCAACCACTGCAAGTAGAGCTTATTGTAAATGCAGCACCCACTACAGAGTCTGAACCTCTTGTGACCCTGCAGAGGGCTTCTACTCCTGCTCTGGTGCAGCCCGAGTTGACGCTTATACCTCCAAACCTGACTCCTGTCACATTTCAACCTTTTAATGTGGAACAGCATACGAAGCAGTATTCTGTACAGATGGAGCAGAATTCCACTGGGGCTGTCAACATATGCGATCTCTGTGCCTGTGAAAATGAGGCCCTGTCGTGTATCGATCTCAGCCCAATGCAGAGACTGCAGCAAGTACCTGTAGTAGAGCCAAACTCCTTCACAGTCTTGTAAGAATCA